CGCCGCGCGCCCCCGCCGCCCGTCGTCGCCGGCCGTCTCCGCCGCACTCGCCGCCCGTCGTCGCAGCCCCCGCCGCCCATATGCCCGCTCGATCGTACCACACACACACACACACATACACACACACATACGCACACGCATACACACACACATACACACACACATGTACACTACACACATGAACGTATACACACATACACACACACGGACACACATATTTTTTTACTTATTTTCTGTTTCCTATTGTTTAGATGAATTAATTAATATAACTAGTTTATTTTTAGAATGGTAGAAATGTTAATGTTAGATGAATTAGAACTAGTTTATTTTTAGTAAATGCTTAGTTGAACTAGTTGAATTAATAGAACTAGTTTATTTTTAGCAAGAAAATTTAGGAATATGAGATTATTTGAACTAATTAAAATTTAGGTATATGAGATTGTTTGAATTAATATAACTAGTTTATTTTTCTTAAATGCTTAGTTGAATTAGTTAAATTAGTAAGTGTTTAATGTTTCGCCTATATGAACATAGGAAATGTCGTCTGACGACGGAAAAAAATTCATTATGTGCGAATACTGTGAAGACCAGCGTGGCCAGTGCGACAGAAATTTCCTTGTTGATGATAGGCGATTCAGCATCAAGCTGGATGAGACCTTCAAATTTGATACAGTAAGTCACAACGACAAGTGTTTGTTTTTGTAATTAAGCATGACTTATATATATGCTTCATTTGCCTGACTTATAATTTTTAATTTTCACTATTCTACTAGCGCATCCCCTGCCATGCAAGAATTTTTGTCTTGGATAAGATAGGTTTCAATGATATTGAAGCTATGGAGGTAAAGAGAGTTTACCTGAAAACTGAGCATGGTTATACTTTCAACGTCAAACTATACAATGCACACACATACACCTATTTTGAATGCAAAACTTGGCAAGCACTATGCAAAACTTATGCATTTGAGCCTGGTATGGTTATCACCTTTGATATTCGTCCGGAAGATGATATTGAAGGTAATAGAGACATATGGGTCAATGTGCAGACGCCTTCAATTCTACCATTATGTGAGTTCTTCTCAACTATATTCTTGACTTTCATATTGCTTATTCAAAAATAATTGACAACTATAATTTATATTGACAGCTTATCTCCATTCAACCAAACATGTCCGGCGCTTGGTAGACAGGACCTACTATTGTCCCGGAGCTGAACTAAACTGCGAGGAGATAAGTCATTATGTTTCATGGCTTGAGGATCTTCATACTGTCAAGACAAATTTTCTTCCTGCACTTAGAAATGTTAGTACTCAAAATGTGTGACCAATAGTGATGGTATTGAACTACGGTCACATCTATTTAGGAATGATGGTAAGATTTTTACAATTTGTCCTTAGTGCATCTTTTGCATACATAATATTTTTGCTAAACTTTCATTGCTAAGTATATTAATTAAGTACTATACGATGTTCTTCAACAGGGACTCTCGATGACAGTTGTGCCTCAGGGGATCGAGACTAAAGGTCGCATGTCAATTGTTAGCTTACGGCCAAGATATCCTGCATTGCACATTAATGCATTCAGGATTTCTAGAAGCGATAAATGCTTAATAGTGAAAGATTAGAGGAAAATTGTTAACGATCACAGAGAAGTACTAGGGGGCAGCAATGAGAAGCGCAACCCACGATTAGGAGACAGGTTCATCTGCATGCTCCAGTTTGATGAATCAGGAGAGCTATACATGTTCTATGCTATTTTACCAGAGAGAGAGTAGCTAGCAGGAGTGATTTAGCATGCTGCTCTTAGTACTTGTCCTTTCATGTCCGTGTTCTTTGTTCTAAACTTAATCTCAAAGAGTGATTTGCTTTTGTGGTGTTATATATGAACGCTTATAATATCATGACAATCATGTTGAACTCGATAATATTTTTGCTTCTGGTACAAGTGAATGTTTCTTCTTTAAGCTACTGTTGGTGGTGATTTGATAGCGGTAATGACTATGATGATTAAATAGTGATAATGACGACTATGATGATTTTTAGCTAGCTAGCTCTAGAGTATGTTGATGATATGATGCAAGAGTTTTATATTAATAATATGATGATATGATGAGTAATTATTATATCATTTAATGAAAGAACCCACATATTAGTTTCAGCTGGATGGATCCTACCTAACTGATCAACTATATATATGCCATATCCATATATATTATACTTGATCACCTAATTAGGTGATCAAGTATATAATATCGATATGGCATATATATATATACTTGATCACAGTCAAAACTAATCTGCGGTACTTTCACCTAATGATTTAACAACTCATTATAATGTAAAACAATCACTAAATTAAATTGAAAACACAAAACTAAAGCAAAAATTAAAAAAAACACCCAAACATTTAGTACTGGTTGGTGTTACCAACCGGTACTAAAGCCCTACGCGCACCCGGGCCTGGCTCGTGCCACGTGTTCGCACTTTAGCGCCGGTTCGTGACGAACCAGTACTAAAGGGGGGAGGACCTTTAGTCCCCACTCTTTAGTGCCGGTTGGAGAACCAGCACTAAAGGCCGTTACGAACCGGCACTAAAGGCCGGTTCTGCACTAGTGATTATTTACATTTGTCTGTGAATAGCATTAAACTCACAGGTGGATACTCATGGGTATAGATAGACCATGTCAACCTACAAATGCTTAGAGTCCCCCAGGGCCCACACCAAGTCATGGCAAGGTAGGTACTCAGGAGAGATATGGATGGATGCAGGTAGGTATATATTTGGGAGAGATATCGATGGATGTGGTAATTACGGGTTCCAATAGTAACTAGAAGATAATGACTTAGTTGGTTGGGAGACTAGATCATATCATATAATTCCAAAGGTTGAACACTTTTTGTCGAATAAGATCTCTCTATAAATGGGCTTGGACACCCCGCCAAAGAAAGAGGCCATTTAGATTGCTATTCTCACAATACTTAGCTTTGTAGATGGAATCCAGTTCTTGTTCTTCATAATCCCTCGTATCAATATACTCTCGTGGCGGGATGTAGGTTATTATCCATGTTGGGGCGTGAACCATAATGCTATTGTCCTAACCATGATCTTTCATATTGGATGATTATGTAAACAATTTGTCATGTGGCTTGAATTATATTTCTAGAAAAGCTCTTGGTTCCGCTGCAAGTGTACCTCCATTATGAACAAAACAACTGGATAACGTGTTGAGGAATCATGCACAATAGCATAATCAACGTCTCCTATAACCTCTAGAAAAAGGTACATGGTAGAAGAAAGGGGGTCAATGCTAAAAGTATGGTAAAGAACTGGTATCTGGTAACAGCTAAAACAGGTGAACTAACTCTTTCTCATAGGATTCTGGAGCAACAATACTACACTACTATTTTGGAAATAACTGAAATTTTTGCAACAAAAGATACATGAGCAGAACACACTGCCCGTACAAACCACATGAACCATTAAAGCAACACAGATAAAAACCACTCTTAGGCCACCGGGAGCCCAGCTGCAAACCTTGAAAGAACTGACAAGATCAAGGATCAAGGATTAAGATGAGCGCTAGATACACATAGCTTGGTAGCTGAGTGAAGAGGATCAAGGATCAGTTCTCAAGCCAGGGCCAGCTTATTGTTGCCCGGACGAGAAAACACAACCTGCATGCAGTAGATACACATAGGGAGTGCGACATCCCGGTGAATACATAGAGTAAAAAGTATGAAGTCATCTACATATACGCACATATACACAGAATATAATAGGTCCACACACCTGGTAATCTCCAAGTGTCCTTGTTCTGAAACCGGCTGCACAGTATATGAAGTAGTACTCCCATACACGGATGAACTTGTCATCAAAGCCCAGTGCCAAAATTTCACTGCAAAGGGACAGAAATTAGGAGTGATACCACGACAACACTATGCATGTGTATATGTACTTTGTGGCGAATTTACAAGGTTAATGGATGCATAGTGGTAATTACTCTTTGTTGGCCATTAGGTTGTCCCTCCAGCTCCTCAGAGTCAGGTAATACTGGTCGCCATTAATATTTTCGAGGTGCTCTATGCTGCACTCAATGTGTATCCAGTGTGAGTGGAGATTGATCCACCATTAGTATCGAATTAAGCATCGATCCGACTGATGTTAAACATACCAGAGTCTAGCAGAGGCGGACACAGATGTTATCCGGGATAAAGAAGGAAGTGAACCCCCAGGGAAAATGTATTCTTTTATGAAGCCTGGGCTTCTAATGTATTCCTCGTAGAGTTCGTCCGGCATGGTGATGGCCTGAATGGACCCATAAGTGTACATATGGAGATGAAAATTAGTTCATGAGTGAATAAAGTTAAGGTATGTTGGCAATTAGAGCCAACAACCTCCTCATAGAGGCAGATATTTTCAGTGAATTTTTAGCATTAGTGCTGTTAAACAATTAAGATTAGCATCGGATCTGTAGGACAAAAATGCCATCTTGAGCCAAGTGAGACTCGCAGCAGGTAAAAAATGCGTCCAAGTATTCATGGCCAACATGTTCGATCATCTCGCTGATTTACAGAAGAGGGATACGTAATTTGCTACCACCCACACATACATGGACATATATACGAGATCATATCTGTAGTATTCTTACCAGCTTATGATTCTGTCATATTTGCGAGCTGGTATCTGACGGTAGTCGCACAGCAGGAAAGTTATGTGATCCTGAGAATTAGTGGGAAAAATAGTATATATTTGTCAGGTAAAATTTGTGCATTCTGACGTATAATGTCCTACTCCCATACCTAGCAGGCCCAAAACTATAACAATAGTTGACTTGATTAGACAATGCTCTATTGGATAGAATTTCTAGACAAAAGGGAGTAAAGGTAATCTGATTCTATCAGAATATTAGCGCAATTACATTTGTAAAAAAAGAAACTGGTTAAAGCGGGATTGTTCCCTCCCTTAATTAACTCCATGTTGTTTAGTTAGAAGTGGTGCGGAGGCTGCACCTCAAACGTGGCTTTGCGAGCTCACAGGCTAGTGCTGGAGCGAGCTAACCGAGCACCGCTCGGTTCTCAATGACATTTGCATCTTATACAAGGAAATGCAAAGAGGAGGGTAAAATATCAACATTAAATGTATGCTTTTTTTTTCTTTTTTATACATCTCACGTTTTGGATCGAGATTCACTTTGACATTTCGTCCCAAAATGTTCTTATGGTTATTTTTACTAAACAATATGAATACATGAAAATGCTTGCTGACTAATCTAAAAAATAGATACCTTTTCTGAAATGATATGAATTTAATGAACTATATCACTTCAAATATAAATTTGCTAATGCGCAACGTCGAAAGGATTCTTGATCTTTCTCTATTCAGACTCCATACCGCTATGCACAACAGGTAACAAATTGGATACCGTGTAGCGGAAGCAGTAGCACATGACTAACCTCTAAGCCAGCTTCTTTAACTTTTCCCTGAGCATATTTAAGCTGCTCCTCCGACAATGTTATTCCAGTGTATTTGCAGCCAGTTTGCTTGACCACTTGTATTGCTAAGCTGCCCCAGCCGCTGCCGATGTCAAGGACATAATGATCCCTCTCAACTTTCGCCTTTGATTAAATGCAAGTTACAAGATTGAAACACCATCAGATCAGGGAAACACCTTCTAACTCACTGGTAAGTACTCCCTCTGTATCAAAATATAAGACATTTTTTGACACTGCATAGTGTCAAAATTAGTCTTATACTATTATGATACAGAGGGAGTACTGAACTAAATGTTCCTGACATTATCTCTAGAGGTATGATTGTATTACCTTGTCAATTAGAAGGTTCAGTTTACGTATCTGGGATTCCTCTAAGCTTTCATCCTCCCTCTAAAAAATTAATTGCAGCCCTTATGTTAACAACATTACTGAAGTTAGTTTACAAACTGCAGCAGCAAACCACATGATTGACAAACCTTGAAAATTCCACAAGAGTATGTCATCGTTTTGTCCAGAAAAAGCGAGAAGAAATCATTGCCCTGAACACACATATACGACAGGAAAATAATTTTTAATACTCATTGGTGAGTTAATAATGATTTACGGCAATATGCATCAAGGACCACAGAAATATATACATAGATGGTTCGGTACAGACATATAGAGTTTAAGATTCAAAGAAATCAATAGCATCTGTAGTAACTCTCATATTACCAATTGGGGCGAAGAAACTGGTTACACTAGTGTAATGACAAAATGGAAGAAACACGTGTACTGACCAGATCATAGTGTTGTGAGATATTTCGACGAGTTCGTGTTACAGAGTTCTTCCTTGAGGTGTGGCGCAAAAAATATTTAGCAGATGCCAGCCCAGCGGTTAGAAGCATAGGTGTCCACCAACCCCTGCCAACAATACAGTTATAGACATGATTAGTTACTGCTTAGTACTCCCCCAGTTCCAAAATAGATGACTCAACTTTGTACTAACTTTAGTACAAAGTTAGTACAAAGTTGGGTCATCTATTTTGGAACGGAGGGAGTACAAGTCTTCACTTTGGTCAAACGAGCATGGTGGAGAATCAAAGGTTTTGAAACCTTTTGCTGACAACGTTGCTACTGCTCTTAGGTGCATCTCTGTTGGCTATAAAAATCTGTAGAGAAATGAATCCCAGATTTAATGTGAGGAAAAAAAAGATGAGGAGATATAGCCCAAGCTGGACTATGATATAGTTTTACCAGGAACAGATTCAGAAGGCCCTCTTTTTTATCAGCAAAAGAGCACCAACCGTTAATGTAGGCATCTGCCAAACCAAGGTCAGACTCTGTTGCAACCTGAGATATGCCAAAGTTGTCCGAGTGAGAAGATTATATCGAGCAATTGCAGTGCAGTACAATAGCAAACCTCAGGCATGCACCCATGTGTAGGCACATACCTTCCAATAGAACATTGGGTCATGAACTCGCAGGACTGATTTTACATGGTGTTTGCAACTAACATTTCCGAAGCTAAGCATGCTGCCTCCATCTTCGAGCAATCTGAAAGATAACTATAAAGGTAAGAAATCAAGATAATTAGATGCGGCATAACTAGCATACGGCTTGACACAAGAACTGACATCAAGTTTCCGATGGATATCGATCGGTTAAGAAATCTTGCTACCAGAAGACGTGCCCCGGCCTCGGTCCACGATGGGACTATCTGCTTTGGGATCACCAGAATGTCACATTTCTTTCCAAGCACACCTTGAGCTGCTGCTTTGCCAGCCTACACCAATGAGACATGTCCCACACAAACAGACCGTTATAACTATTACATGAAAAATTCTGGCTAATAATGCAAGTGACACTAAAATGTACATGACGTATTGGTAGACCCAGCCACTAGCCGAGTAGTTTGGACGTTAAGCTGATTAATGCTAACAAATGGTTGGATTAGTTACTTTACCAATAAGGTAGACTGAGGTACCATTACATATGTTTGAAATAAGTTTATATGAGCAAGGAGGTCATCAACTTGGCATATACATTAGCGTTATGCAATAATGCAATCAGAAAAATTAACTAGTGCAGATCGAATCCAAGCCTCAGGTTCTGTCCCTCTCATCCCTCGGATAGAACAGTATATGGCTCTATAGGCAAGACATGTTATTTCAAAAGGTGCAGAAAGACTAGGTACGCATGAAAATACCTTCAGTCCGTATTCGTGGAAACCATGACCTGTGATTCAAGGCAGATGAGACAATTAAGAACTAGTTTTCTTTTAGCTCATTTCAACCATAAATGGCAATAGTTGTAGAACAAATGCCTTCTTATTTACACTCTAAGAAGTTACCTTGATATGCCCCACAGAACCATATTCCTCTCTTCCCCTGGATCTGATCAAGCTGCATAGATTCGTTCACAGCAGCCACAGACGGAACAGGATGGCTCACACACCATTTAAGTAGTACATGATCCGGAACACGAGGTGGATTGATCGTCACAAGGAATGTCTTAGCAGATTCAATGTTCTAGAAGGCCAGATAAAGCAAATATGCTAAAATTAGCAACCCCTCTATGTATATGCCACCATTTAAATTTATGTATTATAAATTTATCATGCATATAAAAATCATAGGATGTACCTGAATCAGGTTTAGCCAGTAGGTAACAAACATATCCCTGCTTGTTTCCCCCAGAAAGTTCCAGGCGCTCCATCCAGATAAATTTTGTGGCATCAAACTTTTATCACAGTGGAGGTATGCATCACTGTAACATAAAAATTTTCAGCAGTCAATAGATATATCAGATCACACTAAGATCTATTATTCATCCACTAATGAAAGGCACGCATTACCTGCAGACATACTGAAAAGCACCAAGAATTCTCAATTCCTCATGTGTAGCTTCAGCACCTAGTACTTTCAGAGCAGCTGGAGCATGAATCCCAAGTATGACTTTGTCATAAATTTCTTCTGAACCATCCTCCTCTTGGACTCTATAACCACCTGCGAGCAATGGAACAATGTGTCATCAAGTGCGTCCATAACAAGATGAAAAATCATTTGTGTAGGCAAGTATATATGAACCAAATTACAGAAAGAACGACACTACTTAAGAACCAAACAGCCTGTAAGTTGTTCAATCGCCATCCAGATGAAATAAAAAAACATGTACCTCCGTCATCACATGAAACAGATTTGACTGCACAGCTGGTCTTAATTCGACAACCCATGCCTTCTAGTTCCACTCTTACCTGCGAGTGCGCAATGGTTGCATTCCTCGGTCAGCAATGCTAAAGTTTTTAATAATATCATGTTCGAATGATCTATTCCAACTATATAACGATGCTAACTTTGTATGGGCTGAGAGCCAACATACCTTGTCTACAAATGACTGCAAACAACCCTTGACAATGAAGGACTCAGGGTGCCCAAACAACTGAACAAAATAAATTAGTTAGCCTTCAAATGCACAACCATGACAGCAATGTTAAAGTAACATATGTGTCCGAACAAAGTTCACCTGAAAAAGGTCATGGTTTCGGAAAAATGACAGCACAGAGACAGCAGAGAACCCCAGAACTCCTTGTGATGGAGAACACCAAACAGATGTGCATATAGGAATCTGCAGAACACACACACACACACACACACACACACACACACACATATCCAAATGTAAAATCGAAGTTTACAATAGTAAAAATAAAATGGAAATGCACTCTTTAAAGAAAACTATATTCATAGAAAATATTGGGTTCAGATCTAAATAACAAGCGTATTTTTTTTTCTCATATGCATTAATTAATTAAGTTATATTTTCTTAGGAAATCAGCATTCAAATCGATATTTCTAGAAATATTTTTTCTTTCCGGGGGAGATAGATTTCTTTTTGGTGGAAATTTCTCTGTTTCAAACCTGCTGACCTCCTAAATAGCATATATGAAAAGTTATAAAGCTTTGCCAATCTAAATATTGTAAACCTATCATGGGGAGTCTATAATATCTACTATTCTATGAAAATATATCAGTTTGATGTTTTTTTCTAAAATGTCAGTATAAAAAGTAATTGCAGCTCCATAATGTGAGTATACTCCTTTCTAGCTTGGAATGACAAGAATAATAAAAGATTTGAAAGTCAATAAGAAGGTTGAATTCAAACATTTTAAATCAAAATTAGGGGGAAATCCATAAATAATTGCTAGTTAAATAAAAAGGAAGTAAGTCGGTTCGAAATAGTACAAGATAAGCTTCTTGAAAAAGGTGTGAATATTCATGCGACTGAACAAATTGCCCCAAAGTTTCATTTTGATCAAGATCAGGGTTACTTTCATAATAATCCAGGTACCTTCAATTCCAAAGCAGACAATAAATTAATCAATCACTGCACATAACATGCCACAAAAATATGTACAGTAAGTTTTTAACTTTGGTTCAATCAAGATAACCAGTTGACTGGATTGCTTACCTGAGCACGTCGGTCTTGAACTTAATTATCTCACGGATCATGCACCAAAAGCTAGGCCGTAATGCATTGCTCTTTTGTGCCAAAAGGCTTGAGATACCATTGCTAGTGCTCCAGTAGCATTGGCTTCCATTATCCAATTTTATGCTCACCGAGAAAGGTATCTCCGTTCTTTCAATTTCCAACCCGAGAAACTCTAACAATTGCATCATGTTGGGACATGTTGCCTGGTTCAATGCATAATATAACACTATAACAAGTTTAACACATGTTTTTTTATCACAGTTTAACACATGTTTAAAATGTCTAAAATATATTTTGTGTTCATTAAGAGGTTAAACATTCTGTTACGAGTCATAGTAGTTAAGATGATAGGCATACCTAAATATCATTATATAGGTACAAATGTGAAAGAAGTGAAATTCCATTTCCAACATAATCATTAGCTTATGTAAACAAAATACAATTGTTTTATCCTTTTATTTGTTTATGTATTTACTTTCTTTTCTCTTCTTGTATTTGTGTACATTTTACATTTTTTTTGTTATTCATATATACATGCATGGATAACTATTTTCAAAAACATGATCCCTCTTTTGAAAAACATGAACTCTATTTTACAATACATAAAACGTATAATGGGACATTTTTATACATCAAATGAACATTTCAAATTAAACATACGAATATTTTTTACTTTTGCATTATAGAAATATTTGTCAATAGCTAAGCCAATTTTGAAAATATTTTTAAAATGTTTTAACTGAAAATAAATATATCAAAATGGTTTTAAATGTAGATATTTCATGTTATTACTTTAAATTTATATTGAGGTGCATGCAATTTTTCTTTCTTTTTTTGTAACACTCCCTTCATTCCATAATGTAGGGCTTACAAAATTCTTAAAAAAACTAACTTTGCAACATTGATCGATTTTACAGAGAAAATATTTCATATCTATAGTACCAAATATATAAAATATGAAACTAAATCTCATGATTAATCTAATGATGTATGTTTGACATTCTATATGTAAATCTCTTTCTCAACAAACTTTGTCAAAATTTATGAGGTTTGACTTTTTAAAAAATCTATATGCACTAAATTATGGAATGAAGGGAGTATATGGATATTTTCCATTAGTTAAACTAATTTTGACAATATTTTGAATTCAGTTAGTTGAATGGTTCTTAGTACTTTGACTCCTAAGATTAGGATCAATACAAATTCTCTAAAAATGCTATGAAATCCTTCGAGTCAAATGAGCCTTATCCTTATTAATAATACAATAGACGTGCCTTCCCTAGGTAGGAACGATAACATGTGTATTTGGCAAAATAAGATTATCATATTCTTGTCGGGTTATTTACTTGTGGGATCCTATGTACTAACTGGTTGTGGGGTATATATATGAAATAAAGTATGTGAAGTCACTTCAACTAGATGATATAATTAGTCCCAAAAAAGTAGATGATCTAATTAGAGTACTTCTAGTTGTCTATCTGGACATGCTCTAGGGAGTAGTTTTATTTTTTGATAAAAGGCACTTTTATTAACTCAAAATGTAGCATCAAGCGGATATATAGCATGATAAGCAACACACGGTCTCTGCACAACTAAGATGCACATGGCCAAAGACCGACAATCTGACAAAAGAAAATATAAAACAACATATCAGCAGCAGAAAATTCATATAGGACCGACACTATGCCTATCTTGAAGGAGGCGGTGGACCGATCCGGAGTTATGCTACCATCCATGTTGGGTAAAAACCTCCATGGCCACCATCTCCAACCTCATACACACCGCCTTGAACAACGGTTTATACTTCGTTCGATGTAGAATACACCACGTATGAAGCCAGTGCATACAGCGGAAAATAACCTGCAAAGGAGAAGTGTTTTTGCTTCTACAAACCAAATCATTTCTACACAGCGAGAGCGACAGTAACAAGGCATATGCTCCCACCCTTATCCACGTTGTGAACCTATTTATAATACTGTCAATCAATGACCAAAAATATAGGCAACATTTTTTGGCGGATACAAATTGGACGATATTTGAATGACTGACCATGTAGAACGCGCAAACTAGCACCGGAAAAAGAGGCATTTTATTGTCTCGTCATGAGTACAAAAACTAAATTTCTTGCTAAAGGGCCAATTGCTACGGGTGAGGTTGTCTTTGGTTAGCACAACTCTCCTCCGAAGATACCACATGAATATTTTAGTTTTTGGTGGAATCTTTTAATTCCAAATTTTATTGTCATTATCCGCTGCAACCTCTGAATGTCGACTGTTAAGAACCTAGATGTAGTGAGATTCCAGTGAAACTCGCCCTGTCCTTGTATCAGGTTGTTCGAATCTAATCGGGTTAAAAGATTTTGCCATGACACAAGACGGGGATCACTAAATTATTGAATAGAGTGAGAGAATCACTGAATTAATGCAGGATGAAAGAAGTACTACACCTGGTTGAAGACCATGGGGCAAAGGTCGAGGTGGACGAGGCCGGCGCCGTCGTCGACGGGCACGGTCCTGGCACTCCCGCCAAGCCAGTCTTCCTTCTCGTACACAGTCACGCGAGCGCCGCCGCTCGCCGCGAGCTCCTGCGCCGCTGCCAGCCCGCTCAACCCGGCTCCCACCACCGCAACTCTCATCTCGCTAGCTCTTCCTCTAGGTGGTCACTTGGGTGGATTTTTGATGTCCTATCACAACCTACCTGTTATTATATATAGTACAGTACATATATACTCCCTCCGTTCCTAAATATTTTGTCTTTCTAGAGGTTTCAATAAATGACTACATACGAAACAAAATGAGTGAATCTACATTCTAAAATATGTCTACATACATCTGTATGTTGAGTCTATTTGAAATGCCTAGAAAGACAACTATTTGAAAACAGAGGGAGTAGTACTGAAAGTCTGAAGCATAATCGACATGCATGTTGAGAGTGAGGATCCTCGTGGCAGCAGGGACGCAATAGCCGCGTACAACTTGCAAGCCATGCCTTCACGTAATACAACCTCTGTGATCCGATCTGATTTGAAATCTTTTAAGAAACGGGACACGCCAGAAATGGCTCACATGCATTCCGTCTCTTCTTGGCAACTCGCACATGCATCTGCCGCTGCAGTTGGCAGCTCGATGAAGAGCGTGGGCCAACACGCGCATGGACATACGGATCTTCTGAGGACGACGGCCCACATCCTTCGGTCTTTCCCTGGATATTTTTATCTGTCTGCTCAGTGAGCTAAAAAATAAACTGTGTGCTCAGAATCGTGTAGCTGCAGGATGTGGCTGTTGGTTGTCCAGCGCGTCCATGCTCAGTGATCCATTTCATGTCCATTGTTTTTGTTTAGTGCTCCGGTTACCTAGAAAATAACAGGTTCGAAATGAGCGGACCGTTAGGCTCTCCTCCTGGAGACGGCCCGGGCTCCCCGCCCCGGTCGCCTTTGGCTCCGGCCAGCGAGGGCTGGGAGGTGGTCCGGCGAGGCGCTAGCTCCTCTCCGCCGATGGCGGGGCCGGCCATGGGGGCAGGCGCGGCGCTGGCGTCAGTGGGAGGCCGCTTCTAGGCGCTGGCCGAGTTCGATTCGGAGGACGAGGAGGACGTGGATTCGGCGGCGGAGGCTGGGAATCTGGCGCCGGCGAGGCCGTCGCTGGGTGATTTTGTGGCATGTGCGCACGTGCAGGGGAGCGGCGCCGCGAGGGCGCGCCGCCGTTTCGCTCCGGGCGGACGGGGTCGCGCGAGGTCGCAGTCCGTGCATGGAGACCCTCTTTGACTCCGGGCAGGGGATCGGCGTCTCCTGGGGGTGCCGCGCGGGGCATCCGGGAGAGGGCGGCGGCTGCACTCCTGGCTCCAGTGGACTCGGAGGTGGAGTGGCCGTGCCTGCCGGCGTCGGCGGTGGTCGGTCGGGTGCTGGCGGCGACGGCGGCCGTGCCACAGGCAGCGGCGGATGGATCTGTCTCCCTTGAGGCTAGGGTTGCCGACACTGGGACCGGGGCCGTCGAGGGGCAGGTAGACCGTGGGCCGGCCCACTCACCAAGGCCGGTGGGGGTCGGCGGCCCAAGTCAAGTGGGGGACAGTGTGCCTCCTGGGCCCGGGGGGCTAGCTCTATGTGGGCCTGTTGGTTATGACCGGCCCGCGTCGGGCCTACCTCGGCCTCGGCCCAGTGCTGGCGCTTATTTATGGCTGCGCCGCGGATGCCTCGACCCCTCGCTAGGGTTTCCTGCATCCAGAAAAGAGGTGCGACGCTGGGCTCACCTCGCTCGCTCCATCCATCCCATCTCCCCACCTCCTCTCTCCATTTCGTTTGCGGCGGCGGTGATGAGCGGGCGGCATGCGGAGAAGACGCCGATGTATCCTCCGGTCTCGGATGGGGAGCGGTGGCGTGAGCGCGACCTGTGGGAGAAGGCGAAGAAGGAGATGCGTGCAAGACCGAGCGGCAGATCTGAGCGGAGCCACGAGCAAGAGGGGCGCGAGGGGGATTGGGGTCCTCCTCCCCCTTGGTGGATCCAGCAGCAGGAGCGAAGAAAGAAGAAAAAGGAGATGGCTCGGCGCCGGGAGCTTGAGCGCAAGCCAGCGGATCTCCCCAACTATGGTGGTGGCCATGGGGATCCTCTGGCCAAGAAGCCCAGGGCGGCGACCGAACCTCTGGCGGTGTCTCTTCCCCCTGGTGTGAAGGGCACAGCGGGCGAGCCCATTCCGGTGGAGGACGCATCGGAGGCGCTGGATGTGGAGTGCTTCAAGTGCAGAAGGCTAGGTCACTATCAGTCCAAGTGCAAATTTCAGCCCTTATGTGTGCTATGCAAGGAAGAGGGACATGCATCTGCGCACTGTCCGACGAGGGGTCGGCAGCCAAGCCTGGAGATCATGGGAAGCGCAATTTCAGGGGAGGGCTTCTTCTGTCTGCAGTTCAAAGAGGAGGCAGAGTCTGAGGGTCCACGGAAGCTCTCGGTCGGCAATGCTGCGATTCTCTCTGCAGAGCCGGGCCGCCTGAACCTGCGGGTCCTCAAGCAAGAGCTCAACCACATGGTCACGGGGGATTGGGACTGGCAAGTCACTCAAGTGGGTGAAGACGATTTCATGGTGGTTTTCCCCTCTGCAGATCTCCTCCATATGGCTCGGACAAGTGGCAAGTTCCTCTCTATTCACGACATCACCGCTAGGGTGCGAGATGTGGTGCACGAGGTGATCCCACCAATGGTGATGCCAGAAGCATGGGTGCGGCTTCATGGGATCCCTGAGAAACATCGCAAGATCGAGCGAATCAAGGAGGATTTCAAGATGTTGGGGCGGCCTATCATGGTCGATGAGCTCTCCATCATTAAATTGGATCCGGTGAGGATGACACTGGCTTGCAAGACTCCGGCCAAGCTGAATGGCACAGTGGAGGTCTGGTTCAACCACAAAGGGTACCAGATCAGGGTTGAGCTGGAGCAGCTGCCATGGCGGCTGGGGGTCGGGGGAGGGGCTCCGAGGGCGGGCCCCTCCGCTCCCCCGCCTGACAGCCAGCATGGCAAGGGCGGGCCTCACAAGCCTGGGCCACACGCGGGCAATTCCTCCAAGGTGGCTGCCACTGGTGCGATTGTGCCCATAACTTCGTCGGTGGTGCCACAGAAGGAGGCGGCTGGCTCCGGTGCGAGGGTGGTTGGCCAAGATGCGGTGATGGGAGAGCTGGCAGACGAGCATGAAGATAGCATCCAAGACACTTCAATAGATACTGAGACTTGGGAGAAACTGGGGGTGATCGCGACTCAGGACACGACCGTAAGCCTTCCCCCCCTTGCTCGCTCTCTGGACCCGTCCTTCGAAGTGCTTGGGAATGTGACAATGCCTCTGTCGCTGGTGGCCATGGAGATCGAGGCCTTGCCTGCCTCTCTAGAGGGCGGAGGGGGCTCGGGGTTGGACTGCGTCCTCATGGACTCGGTCCCCACTCCGGCCTCGGAAAGGCGCCTGTCGAGCGGCTACGGCCGCCAGGCCAAGAAGACTGCTGGGCGGAAGGCTGGGTGCTAGATGGTGGACACGGCTGCAGCGGGGTCGGCGGCGGCGCTGGGGGGCGAGTTGGGGGCGACTTTGGTGGCTTCAGGGCCGGCAGCCAAGGCAAAAGCGTTCAAGGGCAACCCCGGCGGCGTCTCGGGCTCCAAGCGCACGCGCCAAGGCCAAGCTTGGGGACATGACTTCTCTGGAAAGTGCCAAGCTCCGTGCTGCTGACAAAAACATGGATGTTGCAGGTAACCCTACCCCTTCTTTTAAGATTCTGAATGCTTTTTCCCACGAGCATCTTGCTGAGATTCTTCACGATAGTGGCGTTGCGCTAGATTCTTCGACTTTGGACATTATTCCGTTAGTGCGCACGCGTGAAGAAGCTCAGGCCGCCCTTGCGGCTGCTGCTGCCAGGGGCGGGGCGGTTCAGCCCGTGGACGGCCAGTCTTCAGCACCAGTAGGGGCTGGTGTTGTCGCTCTGCCCATCGAGGGAGACGAGGCCGGGGTGGCCTCGGACTTACCCTCTTCCAGCCGGGCGCCGGCTAGGAAGCGAGTGGCCAAGGCGGTTAGCTCCCGTGGAGTTCGCCTGCACAACCGGATCATCTGATGCGATACATCTTCTGGAATATCCGCGGTTGCGGGCATGTGGGGCGGCGTACACAATTACGAGAGTATATGTCCAAAGAATGCATCGACTTTGTCGCGCTCCAGGAGACGATTAAGGCCGATTTTTCGTTTAGAGATCTTTTGGCGTACGATCCGCTCCAGCATTTTGATTGGTTCTGGACTCCTTCCGTGGGCCTTTCTGGTGGTCAATTGATGGGCTGTAATAAAGACGCTTGCGACGTTATTCTGTGGGAATCTGGTTCGTTTTATATCGCTGCCACTGTTCGTCACCGGGTTTCCCTTGCCTCTTGGGTGATCGTAAGTGTGTATGGGCCGGCTAATCATGCGAGGTCTCTTGAGTTCTTGGGAGAACTCACAGCTCTGGTCGGGGCCAAACAAGCGTCCAACTTACCAGTTCTGGTGGGAGGCGATTTTAACTTGATCCGCTCGGGGGCGGACAAGAGCATTGACAACATTGACTGGGCTAGGGTGTCCTTGTTCAATAATGCCATCGCGGCCGCTGCTCTTAGAGAGATTGCGCGTACAGGGGCAAGATACACTTGGACGAACAAACAGCGGGAGCCAGTGCGATGTGTACTTGACCGTGTTTTTTGTTCAAGTGACTGGGAGGTCTTGTTTCCCCGCTGTACCTTAGTGGCTGAAACGCGCATTGGATCAGACCACGTTCCTCTGATCCTATCCTCAGCGGAGGAAAGTGTGCGTCGTAGCCGTAGATTCTTCTTCGAGACTGCGTGGTTCGAACATGAAGGTTTCTGCCAACTTGTCACGGATCGCTGGTCCTTGATTGGTAACCAGGTTGGCCGCCAACGAGGACCAGTAGAGTTCTGGTCCTCTGCGGCTGCCGCCTTGCGGGCTTTCCTCAGGGGTTGGGGGGCCAATCATGGCAGCGAATCTAAAAGGGTTAGGGAGCGCATCGTGGATGAAATCGCTCTCCTAGACGCGCAGGCGGATGTGAGATCCTTCTCTGGGGACGAATGGGAGTATAGACACTCCTTAGAGCACCAAGTCCTGGCTATTCTCAGGGTGGAGGAGGAGTATTGGCGC